CTGACTGAGGATGTACTAAGATATTGTACGAAACGTCTCGTAATACATAGTTATGCATTCGGTGTTTATTATACTACTATTCATTTCGAAATGTATTCACCGGTTAATTAAAAAGAAACCTGAATCAATAGAATGATTATACCAAAGCGCACTAAAGTCGTTTTTAAATAAACACAGCCATGCGGGAATTTCGAGTTTGCGGCAAAGGCAAATTCTCCGTAATGTCAACATCATCGGCCCATTCACCCACATACTTGCCTTCGCTGCCGAATAGTAACTGCCGGGACCATGCATCGTGTCGCTTTTCCAACTCGCTTCCATGAGCCCATTCACCCACATACTTCCTTCCATCAGTCCAATAGTAAGTGCCATGACCATGGTTCTTGTTGTTTTTATAACCTCCTTCATAGCGATTGCCGTTTAAAAAGGTTTTCGCTGAAAAGTATTTAAAAGAAAATCATTAATAATCCTGATTGAAATGAAGCTGTTCTCCCTATAAAAAGATGTTAAGAAGTGTTAAGAGTGTTAAGAAACACTGGACTTCGATGAATTTGGTTAAATTACGCGTTTATGTGTACTTTTACCATTATTGATTAATTAAAGAATGCATTTAAAAACATGCATGACTTGCCGAGAAAAGGACGTTGCACACTTCCCTTTCCTTTCTTCTCTGTTCTTCTTCGTCTTTGTGATATGTGTGTTATAGGACTGGAAGGTCAACTTAAAGTTCTCTCTTTTCTGTTCGTCCGCTTATTTCTTTTATATACACCAACTACAGTTCCTTTTTAGTCAGATATAGTTATAAGAATGGAGTGAAGACACGCGTGGGTAGTATTCTTTATATCGTTGCATTCCATCTTCTTCGTTGTTATTAGTTCATTGTTTGTTATTCTTTTATTAGTATTAACTTTGTTCATTATTATCAAATATACTACACCAAAATCCTATTGCTATCTATTGGATTGGGGCTGAGACACTAGACGGGGAGCTTTTCAGACGAGTAAGAGAAGTAAAGATGGCAAGTGGGGGGAATATCGTATTTTTAATAAAAAACAACTAGCGTTCTCTATCAATCGTCATATAACGGCACACTTCACTTATATTCCTTAGTTTATACTATACGTCATCTTTAAGAATTATATTTGAAGTTAAAGTTCAAAGCAGGTATGTTTTTGTTTTTAATTTTCTTGAGAGATCACTAGTTAAAAAGCAGTTAAGGTAGATTCTTCCAATCGACGTTTACCGCTCCTAACCGAGACGGTGTTTTTAACTAATATCGTTCCCATCTGTTTACCGCTCTGACCGGAGACGGTGTTTTATTTATTGTGATATCGTATGACCAACGTACCATACCAGAACACCAGATCAAAAGTCAACCTTCAAACTTTATCTAAAAGTGATCTCCAATCACATTCACCTCCATATAAAGTAAAAATACCAAAATCAGCAGCGGGTAAAGACTCTCGACGGCAATCAAGAATCTTCTCACCACTCGAACTAAGACAATCATCCTCTCTGAGTGATACTCAGCTAATTTTCTTCGACTTATCCGAAGAAGAAGAAGGTGAACCGGATATAATGGACGCACAGCAACAACAGTTTGAACAGGATAATCGTGAAGAGTTGGAGGAATTAAATAAAGTATTCCAAGAAACAAAAAGAATTGAACAGGAATTCTTAAATAAAATAGCTTGTCTACAAAGTGTGAAAGAATCAGCAGCACAGATTGATCAGTGGTTCAACTCAGTTGAAATTATTTTTCGAAAACTCAATTATCCCGAATATTGTTGGGCAGAAGAAGCAATAAAACATTTAAACGATGAAAATGTCAAATTGTGGTTTGAGAAAGAGAAAGATCTAATTAATCAGCAGTGGGATAAATTTAAACAACAATTGCTTAAATACGTTCAAGGCACTGAAGAACTGATAGTAGCGCCACTAACAAATACAGCTGAACAAGAGGAGAGAGAATATGATACATTTATTCGTAAGAACTTCCAAAAATTTTCGGGAAAAGAGGGAGAAGATGCCACGACATGGCTCACAGTTCTAGTGGAACGATTCGATAAATTGAAAATTCTCGAATCACAATGGATTTCCTATGTCCCATCAGTGTTGTCTTCAAAAGCGCGTGTTTGGTATGGAAAGCATAAATCAAGCTTCACAGAGTTTGATGATTTCAGTTCAACACTTTCTACCGATTTTGATTTAAAGCGAGATGGACCGCGTTCTTTTCGGCCGTCCGCACCAAGCTCCACAATTTCAACTGAACGTCCACCCGCCACAGACCCCGTACATTTCAGCTTGTTAAAGACATTTAACGAACAGGTAGTCAAAAAGTTGAAAACGTTCAGTGGTCGCAATCAGAATGTGGTAACTTGGTTAGATGAATTGGAAATACAATTTAGCGCTCATGGTTGGGACGAGGAGGTCAGACTGAAATGTGTTTCGACCGTCCTGCAGGATCATGCACTCAAATGGTATACCCGAGCTGCTACTACTATAAACTTATGGAAAGATTTCGTCACACAAATTAAAGATGAATTTAGTTCAAAATTTAGTCAACAAATAGCATTTGAACGAATGATAAATTATCAACAAGGAATTAAACAGCCTGTTTACGATTTCTATTGGGGAATGCTAGATATTAGTCGTGAAATTGATCCACAACCAACAGCTCATAATATTTTGCAACACCTGATTTCAAATGTAAAGCCTTCTCTGAAAGTAAAGATTATGGA